TCATGCAAGATTTGTTTCCTCGCACAACTGCCCAATGCAGTGCGGTGAAGCCAGTCGCATCTTTGAGCTTGACGTCAGCACCCCAGTTTAGTAGCGAGTCGACGGTTAGGGCATCGCCCTGGTAAGCAGCCCAGTGGAGAGCAGTTCTCCCATTGGGGTCAGCTGTGTCGACGGGGACTTCGAGATGTAATAAATAGATGACCAACAAAATGTTTGACGAGTGGACAGAAAGTAAAAGCGTATTAAAGCCCTGGAGGTCAGTACCGTGAACATCGGCACCGTACTGGACAAGAAGATGGACAATGTATACCCATCCGCGTCGCGCAGCCCAGTGGAGTGGCGTGGCCTGCAAGCTGCCGCCTTTGGCATCAACTTCAGCGCCATTGTCGAGCAAGTACTTGCAGATGGTGATTCTGTTGTTAATTGCAGCCCAATGCAGTGCCGTGATTCCATCTGCATCCACGTCGGTCGCTGAAAACTCACCGCTGCTAATTAGCTTTTCGACTTTAGCCAAATCACCAATTTGGCACGCAGAGGTTAATTCTGATGGAGGAGGCTGTGGGGCATTTTCTATACCGCGACAAAAAAGGGAAAAAAAGCCGATTAGTTTCTTTTAAAAAACAAAACAATTGAGAAATAGAACGTTCAAATAGCAAAGCAGAGAAGTCATATAAATGTTCACATACCTGTAGAAGAAGTGCCGGTGGCATTTACTGCGGATTCTGAAGCAGTCGGCTTGCCCGCTAAACCGCGGGTCGCAGTCGGCTGGAGTTCAAGATCGGCGTCTTCTGGGGCGCTGGACATTGTAGATGCTGTAAGAGATGTAGTCGTGGTTAATTCGTAATATTTAGTCTACAGAGTACCGAAAGTAACTGCGCAGAGACAGTACGTGAGGATAAAGAGTGGGTTGTTCAGAAGGAAGAAGAGGAACAGGGAGAAGGAAGGTCAATGAAAAAGTGACGTTGCTCAGAGGCAGGGCAAGGGAATGGACGCGCCGAAACGAGGAAATTTTACTGCGCCAAAATAACGTTGTTTCTTGTTATACGTAACCGACATTTGTGTCCATGGGATCATTACCCAAATTTCAAAATTATTATTATTATAACTGTTACTGAGATATACAGATATATATAAAGGCTTTGTATGACGCAATATAGACTAAACGTCCGATAACGATTTGGACAGCTCAGAGCAGATGCCCGCAATATCAGCGTCTTTGTTCTTTGCCACGAGCTTCTTCAGACTCGAATCAAGATTCCGGGTTTTCAGCTCCTGCAAGAACGCCTCGGCCTTGGGGTTCTTGGCACGGTCCACAAGACCCGACACAACAAGGTTCTGCACCACTACGAGCGCTCGAATGAGAATGTCGTTGCTAGTTTCTTCCTCTATAATCGTCAGCAGCCGGTCGAGAAGGCGCTTTGATTTGTACATGACACCTGGCGCTGGTCCCCATTCCGAGAGCATGGCAAGCGCACCTGTGGCAGCAGTACGGGCAATCGGGTCATCCAGATCGGTCAGAGCCGCCAGGATCTCTAGTCTGCTATTCGATGCAGCGGTATCGTCAAGATATTTCTCAGCGCAAAGGGGCGAAGCAGTAAGGTTACACAGAAGCTCAACTGTGGCGCGCTGAACCATTGCGTTGCTAGAAGTTATAAGCGACTCAATCTTGGCCCAGCCTGACCGAATAATCAGGTTACGGCATGCATCATCAATCGAGGCAATGTTTGTCAGCGCAAGCAAAGCCTCAAAGGTATCAAGCAATGGCACATCAGAGGACTCATTCTGGAGCTGTGACACGAGCGGCTTGACAGTAACTGTAGGCGTCAGCTTTGACGAGAGGGCCAGGGAGGGATCAATAGAAATGAGGGTTCTTGCTAAACCACTTAAGGCAATATTCAAGTGCTTCTCATCGACTCTGTGGTTGTTACCATAGTGATCAGGCTTGTCGGTAGGAAGAATGAGATAAAGCAAAACAGTAAGACCACCTTTCTGAGCAAAGACAGCACGATCCTTCTTCTCAGAGGCCAGATTGCGTAAAAGTACTGCGGCAGTGTTGCGACTGGAGAGCGTGAGTCTCGGGCAGTGCCGGCTCAGGGCGTCGAGAATAGGAGTATTAAGTATCACTTTGCAGCGAGAGGCCACAACAGCGTCAGGTTCAGCGCTAGTCTTACTTTCCTCATTGCGGTTGGCGTAGTCTTTTAACTTGTTCAGCTTTTGTTGCTCTTGAGACATCTTGGGTGCATATGAGGTCAGATTGGAGAGTGTGCTAAGAGCACAGAAGACCCAGGGATTCTCATCATAATGGTCTGAAACAACTTTGACAAGTGCATTTACAATGCTCTGGTTAGAAATGATTCTCGCTTTAACCACAGGCAGAAGAGATGTGTAAGCAAGTCCTTCCAAGGCTGATCCGTAAATGTCCTTTAGCTTTATGTTCTCGCCAGTAGCGATCTCATCTTCAAAGTATAAGGAAAGCGACACGATATCGACTTCCTCCTTTTTATCCTTTCCATCAGGCACCTCCTTGACATAATTGGTCTTGACAAGAATAGACGCAGCGAGAATGACTACCGATTTTTTGGATGATTGCAGGGCCTTTTTGACAATGGGCAAGAAATTGGCCTTGACTTGGGCTCTACTTTCCTTGTTTACGCAGGCCGACGACAAGAGATCCAGCGCAGCGGTGACGACTTGCTCGGACAAAAAGTGATTCTGATCATAGTCCTGTTTTAACAGACGGTCGATTGTAAATACCGAAAATCCCAGGCTCTGGTTGATGTGAAATAATAATGCAGTGAGGGAGAAGGCGATGATCAAAGAATTATTCGAATCCTCTAGAAGGTAATCCTCCACAACCGAGATGAGATCTCGCTGCAGAGTGTCCTCATCAAGCTCGGACATCTTTGACAAAATCATGACCACCTGTGAGATAATGTCATGGTTTAGTCGCCTGTCTGCAAAAATAGAGACAATCGAAATGGTCTTAGATCGGAAAAATGGGGCGGGCAAGGTGTCTTTCGTCAGGTGAAGGTAATACCTCGAGACGAGCTGCAGCTCAGGTAGTTTGCCACTCTTGTCTTTGGCAACCTTCAAGCTTTCCAGGGCCAGGTCGACAAACTTCAGGCACAAATCAGGACGAATGGACGTAAAACAGAGCAAGAGCGCCTTGAACTGGGTATCACTATGAGTGAGCAGCGCATTGTAGAGCTGGGCGAGGGTCACTTCTTCATAAGTGTTAACAAAAGCAACAAAAGATTGCCTAGCCGCAGGATCTTTGTCAATCAAATGAAAAATAAAGTCGGTCTTTTCCTTTGGATATGCAAAGTTCACCAGCGCTTTCCATATTCCTGTGGGTTCTTCGTCGTTTGCAAGTTCCTTGTGCAAGAGTTTGGACACCTCCTGGATGGACTCAAGGATCGTTGCATCAGGCTTCAAAATAGTTGCGACAATGACGTCGTTAGCCTTCTCAATTGCAAGATCTTTCAGGTTCTTGGAGAGATCTTCTGACATTGTAAAAGATAATTATCGATGAGTTTTTTAAAGGGGCAATTGGAGTAGAAAGAAAGAAAGAAAGAAAAAAAAAAAAAAAAAAAAGTGGAATTGAAATTTGGGGAAACCAAAAAAGAAAATAAATAAAAAGTTATTACTACTTGAAAATGTAAGACCATAAAATCATGCGCGTCCACGCTTCTTTGTGTCCTTGATGCCCTTCTTCTCCATCTCACGTGTGCAGTCCGGGCAGTACCAAGAGGACTTGGGATCCGGAGGCTCCTTGAGGCCAACACATCCGTAGTGGAACCATTCGATCTTACAATCAGGGTTGTCACAACCGACCATATTGCCAAATGATACTTGGCGACAGATGCAGTAAATTTCGTCTTCACCCTCGGCACCAGTACCAGTATCGATACCGGCGTTCGCCAGTATCGCGTGGACTCCATCGTTTTTGTCTTTGCGATTCTTGGGTGTCGAGCTAGTAGATGACGCGTCGCCGCCATCCTTGATGTTCATAGGCGTTCCAATGCCTGGCGATACTAAACGAATTGACGGCTTTGCTGCTTTCTGGGTGCCGGAAGTTGGTGTAGCCACGGCGCTACCCGCTGCAGAGGCAGCCGCTGCACCAGAAAGTTTCTGGCGCTTTGTTGGTCGCACCGACCCCGCAGATAGTGCTGTAGACTCACCATTATTGGGTGCTGATGCTAGGCTAGATGCTCCTCCGGCACCGGTTGCTGATACTGGTGTGTTTCCTCGCGTCCCCGGAGCAGGAGACCCTAGCTTTTGCGTCCGGCTAAGCCCCGCAGAAGAGACACTAGATACTGTCCGCGCATGTCTGCTTGATACTCGTGCTGACGGCGCGGGGCTGGCCTCTGAAAGCGACGGCTCCGTTGACGGTGCTATCATGCCATCTTTCTCTAATCGTTTGATTTCATCGTTTAACTTTTTCAGGTGTTTTGACACAATATATAAGCCCTGGTTCGCGAGGTCGCACTTCTCCTGTTGCAACATCATAGCCTTTTCAAAGTCCGCGCGAATCTTGGGATACGCGCTCTCTTTAGGATTCTCGGCAAGTGAACCATGATTGCGAATGAATTTATGAATTTGATTATCGCGTTGCTGGATGCGTTTCCGGAGTTCGTAAAATTTGATATCTTTGTCGCGGATCTCTTCGAGGACGTGTGCGATTTCCGCGGGCAGGTTGTCCACTAGTCATGTTAGAAAATGTTTTGATCACCATAAATATTATCATCAAGTACTTACAATCTGACACAAAGTGCTCTAATATCGTGGCAGCATCCATATTTGGCTGATAGAGTGTGCGTGTGTTGATATCAAAAGAGATGTATGATGGATACGGATTGGGGAAGCGGGTGGCGTGTGCCGAGATATACGCTTTGAGAAGAAAAAACCAGACCGCCACCTTAAAAAAAATTTATTAGTAAGATATTCTTTTTTCTCCTGTTGCTTTGTATAAGTAATCCAATTTTTTAAAATAAAAAGTTGCCTTGCTAGCTCAATCGGTAGAGCGTGTGACTCTTACCACCTGATAATTCAGGAAAAAAGTCATCACAAGGTTGGGGGTTCGAGCCCCCCGTAGGGCTTTATTTTTGCCATAATTTTAAATTTACAATGTGTTTATTGTTAAGATTTCAAAGGCTATTTTGAGAGCCGCTCTTGAGATCATTTTTTTTTTTTTCGAGCCATTGACAATGCCTAAAGCCTAACAATCACCATGTATGGCTGGCCCTCTACAGAAGTCTATTACGGCTCAGATGCACCCAAAAGTATTAAAGCTTAGACTTTCTATCTCTACATCTCTCCACTGTTGTATTTAATTCAACGAATCGACTTTTCTCTTTTTCTTCTTCTTCTTCTTCTTCTTCTTCTTAACACTTTGATATTATTTTCTTTTCTTAAAAAAAAAGTGTCTTAGTAAGGTAGTATTAAGCTGAATGTCTTTTATTCTCAAGTACTTTGCAAACAAGGTAAGGCTGAACACTCTGTAATCTTTGCTTTTCTTTTTTTAAATAAAAAAAAAAAAAAAAAAAGAAAATCGCAATTCTAAACAATCTCAGGCTGCTTTACTAACCACACATCAATGCGTGCAACATCTATATAGGTCTTCAAAGAGACCATCAAAAACAATTTTGGTACCGAGGATCCTTACTATGAGTTGGTGGAGATTCAAAGCTTTGGCCGGACCAAGACTAAGCGCGTGCGCAAGAAGCCTTTGACTGAGGGTCTTTCGGTAAATGACTCGCAAATAATGCAGCGGGTATCAAGGCGCGCATGGAACCTCGACTATCTCTTTTCGTTTTGTGGCTACCGACTGGGGTGGACCTCCGTGATTGGGCTGATCCCCCTGGTGGGTGATGTTATGAATGCGTATTTATCCTTTACTGTGGTTCGGCTTGCCAACCGCATCGATGGTGGTCTCCCAGTTTTTCTGTTGGCGCAGATGACTGGTAACATCGTGCTTGACTTTTTGCTTGGTATCACTCCGATTTTGGGGTCAATTGCCGGCGCCTTGTATAAAGCAAATAGTCGCAACTCGCTTGTGCTCGAGCATTACCTCAAAGAGCGCGCACGGACTAACATTGCCAAGGGCTTGTACGTTAGTAGTGCCGACCAATCATCCAGCCTGTCAAGCGACCGCGATGCTGATCCACTGTTATTACGGACGCCCGGTAAACAGCCTGAGGTCTCTGGGTCCTTTCAGCTAGACTCATTTTCATAATTCTAAAATACTGGCAGTAGTCAAGTAAAGAAATAAAAGATAATAATATCTTATTAGGAGCTATATAGAAAGCATAAAACGAGAAGAGAAAAAAAAAAAAGTAATAGACGTTACAACAAGAACAAAAAAACAATTCAAACAAAATCAAAATGGAGGAAAGGAAGGACATTATTTCTCATTCTTGAGATACATTTCGTTAGCGTTCTGGCGCGCGTAGACAGCGGGCGGAGTCGGGACACCGCCGGGATGCTCAATGAGACGCGATTGTAGCGCCAGAATGTAGTCACGGAGCTGAATGTTTTCCTGTCTAAGAGCGTCGATAGTGTCTTTGCTGCTCTTGAGTTCAGTGACCTTGGCCTCAAGGTCCTTGATATAAAGCTCCTTGCGCTGGCGGAAAGCGCGCTGTGCCTGACGGTTCTGCTGTGCGCGCTTTGTGTTGTTCAGAGGACGCCCCTGGCGACCGAGTTCAAGACCCTGGCCACCACCGGAACCAGTGGGGGAGTGGCCAACGGGAGAGACGACAGAGTGGGCAGCCTGGCCAATGATCTGGGATGGGCTGTGAATTTGCTGCTCAGCTTGGGCCTCGGACGCGCCCTGGGCCTTGGCCTGGGCCTGAGCCTGTTGGGCCTTGGCAACAGCTAGAGCGGCATGATCTCCGTTGAAGGCGGAGTCATCACCATTTCCGTGTTGGGACTGGCTAAAAGAGGGATCAATGGTGGTGTTAGAGTCGATAAGGTTCTTGTTCTCAGAGTCCATTCCCTCGACGCCAGACCAGGGGTAGTTATTAGTGTGAATAGCCATTTTCTAGGTGATGGGTTAGTACCAGAAAATAAAAATAAAATTTTCTGCTCTCTAGCCTTTTCGTGTTGATGAGGTTTGCCACCAGCCAATGGTGGTCCATGACGAACCATGTCCAAGTTCTGTCATGGATTCTATTGTTACAAAAGTCATTATCAGGAATAAGCGAACGCGAATGTCTGAGTTATGGGACCTGATGACATGGTGATGACATGATACGGGTAGAGTTAGGTGGCTGACGGGGGTTTCATTTGATAAGCAACGCGTAACCAGTTGGGAGATCAAGGAAACCAAAAAGAAAAACACGAAAAGATAGTGCCTTTAAAGCAGAGTACGGGACGTGATCCCGACAACGACTTACTTGAAGATGAATTTATATAAATGATATTAAACTTGCAGAAGACAGGTACTTCGTAAATATAATGATGGAAGAGCGAAATATAGTAAACCAATGAATGGAAAAAAAAAAGCAGGAAAAAAGGAAAAAAAAGAAAAGGAAGGAAAAATTAAAAATCTATTTGTCATAAAATTTAAGCAACTTACAAAGCAATCAATACAGTGGGGTTAGGTAATACAATGGGAAGTGATTGGTCAGATTGAAGGCTTTTTTACGTGATGAAATTTGTCAGTGCTACAATTTACTCTGACTAAGAAATGGCAAAAATTAGCAAATCACAGCCCAGCGACGTTGTCAGCAAAACTAAATAACTTATGAGATAGGATTTAGGAAAATAATAAAATATTTGTCTTATCTTTTATTTTTTATTTTATCTTTTTCCAACGTTGTGATTGATTTAGGTTTTTTTGATTTCTGATTAATATACACTGTACATTCTACATTCACACAACATGGATAAAAACAACAATAATAACAAGCTTCAAGTGTTATATCTTAATATTATAATTAGCACTGAAAATGATTTCATGGTAAACACTTCGGTGAAAACAAAAAGATTTATGGTACAAGTCTTAACTACTATCAAATATATATAAATATAAACATATTCATTTCTCTTTGTCATGTACGATATATGTTTGCATTAAAACCGACCACTTTACTTAGTGTTAATGTTTCTTTTTACTTACCTTCCCTTTCAACGGTGGGGATACATGATCAACAGACGTTATACCCACTAGATCATATATGTGAATGCGTAGATCTACTTGATTGTAGTTCAAGAGCAGAATCGCTTTCTTCTGGATACCCATTCTGTAGTTGATTGAATCATTTTCATACTGTTATTCTAAGATTATATTGTTTTTATTGTTTATTATCTAACGAATTAGACCTTGCTTTTATTGCCGAGTATCTGATTATGTTTGTCGAAGGGTGACATTATAGGCCCTAACCCTTATAATCTCCAACATTTTTTTTTTAATTTTTTATTCTTAAGCGAAACTTCCTCCACTTTTTTTTTTTTATTTCATTTTATTTCATTTCCCTCATCAATTGTTCTTCTGAAACACTCTTCAGCATCTCCATCATGTGCGAAATTGTTGAATATATCTACGAAGTCATTGGCGAAAATGCCCGGGACTACCCTCTTCCCACCGCCGCTATCCTCGGTCTTTCCTTCTTAGGCCTCTTCAAGTTCACCTTGTCGGTTCTCAGCTACACCAAGCTGCTTCTTGATCTCTTTGTTCTCCCCGCTACCAACTTCAAGCGTTACGGTGCTAAGACCGGTGCCTGGGCTGTTGTTACTGGTGCCTCTGATGGTATTGGTAAGGAATTCTCCATTCAATTGGCCAAAAAGGGCCTCAATGTCGTCCTTGTCTCCAGAACCGAATCCAAGCTCGTTGCTCTTGCCGAAGAGATCTCTTCGAAATACAAGGTTGAGACCAAGTATCTTGCCTTTGATGCGTCCACCGACAAGCCTGAGAACTACCAGGCTCTTTCAAAGCTTGTCAACTCTCTTGATTCCGTCACCGTTCTGATCAACAATGTCGGCCAGAGCCACTCCATTCCTGTTCCCTTCCTTGAAACCACCGAGGAGGAGCTTCAGAACATTATTACTGTTAACGACACCGCCACTCTCAAGATCACCCAGGCTGTTGCCCCCAAGATTGTTGCTTCTGTAAAGGCTGCTAAAAATATTCCCAAGGGTCTGATCATGACTATGGGATCTTTCTCCGGCCTCACCCCCACTCCTTTGCTCGCAACTTACTCCGGCTCCAAGGCCTTCCTCCAGGCCTGGAACAATGCACTTGCCAGCGAGCTTGCGCCCCAGAATGTTGAGGTCCAGATTGTGCTTTCTTACCTCGTTACTTCTGCCATGTCTAAGATTCGCCGTACTTCGGCGCTCATCCCCAACCCTAAGCAGTTTGTCCACTCAGCTCTGCGTAACGCTGGTACCAGACGTGCGGGCGCTCAGGAACGATACGCTACTTTGACCCCTTACTGGTCGCACGCGCTGATGCACTGGTGGATCAATGCGACCGTTGGTGTCTTCAGCAAGCTCGTCATTGGAATCAACTACAACATGCATGTTGATATCCGCAAGAGAGCTCTACGTAAGGCTGAGCGTCTGGCCAAGCAGCAGTAAGGGCCGATCGGCACCTCTCCGGCCGCCCTTGGCGTGGATGCGGTTAAATAATAATAAAAAAAGAGATATCAAGTAATATTATTACCATAATGAAGAAAATAAAAAACTTTACAAATGCCAGCATTCTAATGTAAAAATGTTGCAGATGTGTGCGGTCCAGGCCCATAACTGATAACCCGGAATGGACGTGGGCAGCCCACATGCGCACATATCAGGCGTGCGCACAGAACTCTAAGAGCTATGATCTTCCAGGCTGCTGCTGTTTATCGTGAAACTATGAAATGTGTTTTATTTATTTATTTGAATTTTTTTTATTTTTTTTCCACGATCGCTGGGGCCGCTGAGACTAAGATGCCTATTGTTGCGGATCTGATCCAGAACTGATATTGTTTGAGGTTTGTTTTCGTTTTCCTTTCAGAAAACTTTTTTTTTTCCCTTTTCCAAAACAAACAAACAAAAAAAAAAAAAACAATATCGACAGCTTCATCAAAGGAGTTGCCGCCGCCGCCCTCGCTGACCACCA